ATGTCCATCAATGGATGAATGGATAAAGAAGAAGTGGTAGATGGATACAATGGAATATTACTCAGCTATAAAAAAGAAAGAAAGAAAGAAAGAAAGAAATCTTGCCACGTGTGACAATGTGAATGGGCCTGGAGGGTATTATGCTGAATGAAATAAGTCAGACAGAGAAAGACAAATACCATATGATTTCACTTATATGTACAATTTGAAAAAGCAAATAAATACACAAAACAGAATCAGACCCATAGATATACAGAACTAACTGATGGTTGCCAAAGGGAGGGGGTTGGAGAGTGGAAGTAAAAGAAAATAGAGGAGTTTTTGCAGGACCTTCAAATGTTGTAGGCACAGTAATTGTTGACGTGGATTGGCCAGGTCTTTATAGTAGAAACAAAACTTTTGGAAACTTTTAAAACAAGCCGTGGAATTCTTTTTGCAAACAGAATATTATTCAAAAACTTAATATATGAAGAGATAAAAAGAGAAGTGCACAGATGAGAGTGGAGGAGAGGAGTCTCACTCTCCTGGCCCTGCTTCTCAGACATGGTCATGAAGGTACCCTTAGTGCTTTGGGGACACAATGATAATGCCTCCGAGACAGCGTGATCCAGAGCCTGTGTGATTCAAGATGAAGCTCCCGGGGCTAGGACACCAAGTGACAGAACTACGTCTATACCACAGTTTACCAATAGATGTCACTATATGCCATATTATTGTACATATGGTCTCCCACTGGAATTGCCCTTGAATTTTTAAATTCTGGGCCTGCAGACTCCTGGGAATCCCTGGATTTATTGGGGGTGGGGGTAGGGGGTGGGGGGAGGAGAGGATGACAAAAAAGCTATGAGAACTTTCAAAACTGTGTTTTAATCATGATGAAAAAATTTTGAAAGTTATTTTATCAGGTATAATGGCAAAACTCTTAGTTGAAATTCATTTTTATAGAAAAAACCAGGTGTTTCTTAAACTGAATTCCCCAGATGAGAAGTAGTGTTAGTGGGACTTTAGGGAGCCCCATCTTCTTTTCAATCAGCAAAGCCCCTTTCTTTGCTTCACATGCTTTAAATGGTTAAAGAGCATGACTGGTTTGAAGTCAGATAGAAGTGGGCTTGAATTCTGGCTCTGTGGTTAGCTGTGTGATCTTGAGCACGTTCCTTAATGTCTTCTAGCTTCAGTTTCAACTGTGCAACATAACAGCATTGATCACATGGTGTCGCAAGGATGAAATGAGAAGATATATGAAAACACAAAGATTAACTGTCATTATTAGCTATGATTATTTCACTTGATGAAAGTATTTTTATAGTTAAAATCGTTTGAAAACTGAATAGTCCAAGCTGTTATCTCAAAGATGTGGGAACGGAGACTTAAGAGGCTAAGTGATTTGGTTCTCTGATTAAGTTTAACGATTTCATAACACAATTACAATTATTTATGTAAAACAAGACATGCTCACGCTAATCTTTCCCAGGTATGTTCCTCCCCACTTGGGGGAACTTGATATGTCAACATTTGAATTTATATAACTGATCAAATGCGAAACAATCCTTCACCTAATGATTTAACATGCCAAATAATTCAGTATATTTTTAATTTTTAATTTTATGCTTCTTTTTTCTGTTTACAAAAGTAATCCAGAACAGGTTTGCAAACTTTCAACAAATGACATGCTTAAGTAATGATTCTGTTGATGAAGTAAAAACATCGTTTAATAAATAAATGTAGATGATTTCATAACTTTTCAGCCACAGATTTAATGCTTTAATTGATTCATTGAGTAGGCAAATATTTTGGTTGGGGACTTACACATTCGCTGTGTCCGCTGCCAAGCGGAGGCATTAATGAAATCGGGATTCATGGATCTGTGGCCGTATGAGATTGGTTGCTTTGATAATTAACTGGAAAAATAAATAATTCAGTGTTGTGGGTCTCTCCTCATTTGTAATGTAAAATTAGTTTTATCTTTCTATGAAAATCCCTTGTACACTAGCACTTAACTTCTATTTCCCTAAATTCCCAAGGTTTCCAAATAGTTATTTTTAAGGAAATATAATTGTATTATGATAGGATCCCATTGCTCTAATATCCAGAGTCAGAGAAACCTCAGGGTCACGGGACCAACTGCTCAAGGACTAGTTTGATTATACTCATAAAGTTTTGGCTATTTTGAGTGTTGTCCATGGGAGTCAGGGCGAGGCAGAGAGGCTATTAGAATCACTGTCACCAGTCCCTTATAAAAGCGCCTTGGACTTCTGGGGGGCGGGTTACCCTGAAGGCTCTAGCTGCCGCTGCACACAGAGGGTGCGGGTGGTCGTGCCCAGGTGAAAAAGCTGATTGGGTGCTGGGTTCAGTGACACCTGCTGACTTAAACCACTAAGCATGGGAGTCAGGATCTAGGGGCCTCGACACTTTGGGGGTCATGAAAATGTTTTAATTTACTTTGAAATCAAAAGAGAAAACGAATATAGTAATCAATCCAGCCTAGATTACTTTTGTCTTTATACTAACAATTGTGAAATATAAATTTTTGTTGTTGTTGTTGTTGTTTTGTGTGTGCAAATGGGCCCACAAAAGCCGAAGTGCCTAGAACTTTGAGTTCTACTTCCAAATTTGGAGTCCTAAATTTACCATATGAGGAGAGGAAGAGGAGGGAGAAAGTTGGAGGAAAAGGATCCCTGCCCTAAGGGCAAACACCGGCCTGGGACTGAGAGGAAGATGAGTAAAAAAGTCTTGGCTCTTCGAGGCTGGGCCTGGCTGTACAGGAGGTGGTGGGAGTGCATGAACTATTCTAAATTACAGAACTGGTGGTACCAAGACCATCCTGACCTCAAAGCACCAAGCTCCTAGCCTGTCACCTGCCTCCCAAATCTTCATAAATGGACAGTTTTACTCCCCTTGTTGTGGTCTCTAAAACATCCTGTGGTCTGTACAATATCACAGGTCTAGACTGGTAAACACAGGGTGAGTGCACTGGGTGCTTCCGCTCATCCAGGCCTAGGGGACTATGCTTCAGGCAGACTAGTAGCTTGACGCCTCTTTTCCCTCCTCAGGAAGTTGCCACTGGAGGAGCTCTGAGATGTCTAAGTGGGTATCTTCACCTAGACATCAGAGGATACAGAAGACCGTCCACTGGATGAAGAGCAGATCTTGATGGTTAACTCAGAGGAACTCTTCCAGTGGACAAGAGGGTAAGATTTGCTTCTGGCCTGTGACTCTTTCCAGACAGTACACTGTGGTCTGATGCCCCTGGACCCTTTAGCCTGGCCTCCTGGGGATGGTTCCTATATCCTCTGGGCTACAGATCCACAGCCTGGGGCCTTCGAGGGCTTTCTTCCAGGAGGGGAGGGGAGTGGGGCATGGTAGGTCTTGCGGGGAGGAGGCGGCTTGCAAGGGTGAGGAATGAAGTGGAGGCTGTGACCACCAGGAGGCACTGATCTGCCCCCAGCAGCCCCTCCTACTCTGGAAAACACCAGGACTCCCCCGGAGCAGGGCTAACAGGCTCCCCCCATCCTGTCAGGATCCAAGGATTAGGTGAGGGTTTTGGATATTTGACTGTTGGGTGCCTCGCGCCCTGAAGACACCAAGACTCCTCTTCCTCTGCGGCCTCTCCTTGGTCCCTTCACTAGGCTGACTCTGGTGGGAAGCAGGGGAGGTGCCACTATCACATTCATTTCTACATTCATTGATGGTTTCATCTTTCAGCCTTTATGGGGCCAGGCTTTGGGACACAGATGAGTAATACATGATTCCAGCCTGTAAGAAGCTCAGAGATGGGTGGGGGAGACCAAATGCAAAGGCTATTGGCACACAGTGACAAATGCTGGGGTAGAGTTCTGCCCAGGAGGTGGCAGGGCTTTGGCAGGGGCAGAGCAGGGTGGACCTCTCTAATAAAGTGAGTCTTCAAGGGCCGGCAGGAGGGAGCCAAGTGAGGAGGCCAGGAAGGACACGTGCGGCCCTGGTGCCATAAAACAAGGAGTGTTGGGGACTGCCAGTGTTTGATAAGGTGTGAGCTGAGGGTACCAGACAGGACACGGAGAGAAATAAGCGGGAGAGAGGCAGGGCTTCAGGTTATGCCCGAGAGCCAGGCTCCCCTCACTAATAGGGGGAGTTATTGCAAGATTTCCTCAATGGAGAGACACAATCAGATTTAAATTATACAAAGATTGAGTCTGGGAGAAAGGAGGAGACGGGAGCTGGATGCAAGGAAGCCTGTTAGAAGGCACTTATAAGTAGGAAATGATGAGAAGCTAAGATAGATGAGAAGCTTCCCTTTCTGCTTCTCAGCCATCTGGGGCAGGCAGTCTGTGGTTTCCAGAGTTCAAGGAGCGGAGCTCTCAGTCTCAGGGTGAGGAGTCAGGAATGGAAAGAGCATCCTAATCCCCATTGCTCCTCTTGTTTTTCCAGCCCCTAAAAGGTGGGTGGGCTGGACCAGATCTTGCTCCAGGGTGGCCCTGGTGTTGGGCTCTGGGTAAAGCCAACATGTGGGGGTGGAACGGAGAGCCCAGGAGGACTAAGATAGCCTGAAACACAGGGGGAATTAATAGGTGGCAGTAGCATTAAGAAAACTTAGGGCCAAAGGAAGAAAGGGGGTTGATCCCAGTGCTTCCCCAACTCAGAGACTTTCCAAAGGGAGGAGAACAGAATGGGGCATGAAGCTGATAAGAGCAGCCTTAAAGGGAACGTGAAACTCGTCCCATGTCTCAACACGAGGCAATGAAAGCAACGAGGAGATTGCTGACTGTCTATGGAAGGATCCTGCGCTAAGGAAATGGAGCTTGAGAAGATGAGAGAAAACCAGTCACTTTTCCCCGGGGAATGCTGGTCTTATCAGCAAGCTTTGAATGTTATGTGGCTTAGCCCCCCACTCACCCCCCAACCTCCTCCCCCCGCCCCCAGCTCCAGTGGTTGCTGCTGTGCAACCAGGAAAAGCAGGCCCCATGGGTACAACTGATGCTACAGGAGGCAGCTAGGGTTGCATCTCAGGACCATAAACACCGAGGATGTGGGGCACTACCAGCCCTGATCTGATTTCAGGCCTCGAGCTCTACCCGGGGCTGCATCCTCCAAGCCCGAGGTGAGTAGGAGGCCAGAGGCCTGGATGTTCCAGATCTTTCTCATGTCCCTGTGGCTCTGGGGCACCCTGCAGCGATGGTGCACACACACACACGCACGCACGCACGCACACACACACGCACGCACGCACGCACGCACGCACACACACACGCACGCACGCACACACACACACACA